CGACTGAAGTAAAACACCATAGTAAAGAAACGTTGGTATACATGGGCACAGCACACAGATTCCTCACTGTTAAATATGAAAGGTCAGTTCAGAGCAATGGTGCAGCAGACTCACTATCCTGATACACGCATTTCAGGAGAAGATGAAAGAAACCTTAGTTTCCAGGTAGCTAGCTGTGAAAGGTGTTATTTAGATGGAAAATGCATTTGTTACTGTTGCAAGTGAAAAATCTAGGGATCTTTTACTTAGAATAACGAGCATTTTGTATCTGAGATAACTCTGGTTGGGCTTGCAATCTACAAACACATGCAGGGTAGTTTTTAACCCTGTTAAGCTTTTGACCTTAATGATACCTTGTTACAGAAAGTTTCAGAAAATAAGTGCAGGAAGATAAGTAAATTCCATGACAATAAATACTCACTTTTATCAGTTTTTATCTGACACCTTCCCACTGAATTCTCCCCTTCTCCTGTCATAATAAACTCAAAACCTAGATTATTACCCTGTCATCTCGCATACTTCCCTTCATGCCTCTCTCCTCCCTAAACAAACAATCTGAATATTTTCACTTCCTTACTATATTTTCACTTCCTTACTATAAAGGCATTATGTTTTTAATCACTGCAGTCATTCATGTGCATCCCATTTATTTTTCCGGAACCATTTGAGGAATGGCAATCAGAATTTTTTCAAGGAAGATACCCTTTAATTGACATTTAGATTATTACAGGCCATTTCTTACTCTGTTTAACTGTTAAACATGCTAACATTTTGTTTGCTCCCTTTACAACTTGATTTAGAACAGGGGTTTTTCACTGAGCTTTCCAGAACAAAACTTCCTTCCCTGAATGACTACTACTAAGGCTTATTGTTGTAAGCAGTTATAATCATTGCTTGTAATGTAATCAGTCATTCATACATGCTGAATTTCATCTGCCATTTTGTTTGCTGTTGATGAAGTTGTTAATTTGGTTCTTAATTTTATTTTTTCGTCATAAGAATCCACAAAAGAACATGGACATACTGAAAAGTTGCCATGAAATAGGCTTGAGGTAGGCTAGAGTTCAGGTTCACAGCTCCACGTCGCTTCAGGGTGATCGATCTGGACATTCCTGGCCCACATTCAACAGAAAGAAGGTAACGAGTTCCATCACGTTTACTTCTGCACAAGCATGTGGTCACATGGACGAGCACTAAAGAGCAGTTGATTTACTGTAAATTCACACCCTATATTACCTTGCACTAACTTGTTTTTTACTCGCATTTTTGATAATATGCCACTATTAACCTCCTGCTTTCAAATCTAATTTTACCACATGGTCAGCAGCACTGAAAACTGGCCAATTAATCCTTTTGCTCACTCTCTGCCTCTTTTTCCTAAGAAAACTGGCACCCTACAAATACCTGGCCTGCTTAACAAGCTCTTGCTGAAAGTCTATCAAAACCTTTCTTGAAAGACAGAACAACAAGAACCAGTTCCACTAGATGTTATTTTGCTCTAAGATTTCTAACAGGTTAAAACAGAGATTTTGGGGTCTTTAGCACATTTATGTGGCTGAAAAAAAATCCATCTTTGCTTTTTCATGAGTATGTATCTGACACTGGAGCAAGGCTTACCACTTTTCTTTACAGGAAACTTGTAAGGTCTTTACCTTGGGCACGTTTGTTGCCCTGTCTGTGCTCTTACACAAAGACCAGTTTTACCATGAACCACCCCTTTTGCTAGAAGCTTTGCCACTTGACTGCTGCATTTCTTCTGAATTCTCAGATGAATTTTGAGCCAGTCATAGGAGTCTCACTGACCATTTCTGCCTATCCTGTCTCTCCTCATGGTAGCTCAGCTTTACTACCTGGGAAAAACGCATCTCCTCCAAATCTACTACAATGAGAAACAATGCAAAATAAATTAAACATCCTTAATGCTTTTATCCTCAGGACCCTGTATCCGCAGATTTAGACTGTAAACCCCAATATATTAATAAATTAATCTATCAATGGCAGAATTATGGAAATTTGCATTAATTACAAGCCTGCTCCCTACAATATGTTACAATATTTTTCAAATCTCTCTTCCTCCATGTCTCCTAACTTACAAGCAAGCAGCAGCACCGTGTTGCAGCTAACTCTAAGTTAAAAGCCCATTCACTGCTGATGAATCTATGCATTCTGAGCAGCTGGGCAGTGGTCCAAAGAGCACAGATTCTGTTGATCACTTGACTTCTGCCCCACAACAGAAGCACTGTTACAGATCTTGTGCTCCTGTCCACTCAGTTTTCATGAAATTGATAAAAACATAGCATCTTTAAAACAAATTTAGCCAAAGCTTTGGGGGATTTGGGTAGGGTTTCCTCCCACTGCCATGACCTCCTGAGCTCAGATACTTCCTTATTACCCTACTTTGCCAGAAACATATCTGGCTAGTTTGGGATTCTGAAAGGCACATTTCCAAGCAGATCTCTGCACTGCTTGCCCCCAAATATCCTGGACAGATAACTATACAAACACCCTCTTACTTTTGAATACATTCAACTACAGTGCTCTCCACTAAGTACTGCAAAAAAACAGGTAGTAGTGTAAAGATTTCTGATGGGGGGGTCACAGGTATAGATTTTGCATTTGTTTGTATATACTCATTTTTTTTTTTAAATCAGACTTTATGTAACCACACACACAAAATGGCAATCCTGTGTATTTAAATATAGTGGAACAGAATTACTCAAAAGCAAAAAGTAAAACTTATTATCAATAGCTAAAAATAAGAATTCTCCCTAGCAGCTTCAGTGTCTGTCTTTGTAATATTAAGCGTTTATCCTTCATAATCTAATTTGAAGATCGTCATACTCCAATGAGTCTTTAAGGTTACAACTTTCTTGCATTTATCAGTAAAGATAGTTATAAAGTGACCCCAAATCTGTTTCTTTCCTAGTTTAAGATGCAGTACTCCTTTTTCCTCTCTATTCATCCCTAAGTCCTGCAGCTGGCAATAAGACAGCATGCATTGATTCTGTGGATTAAATACTGGTTCTTAAAGATTCTAGACTGATATTTTATTGTATACCATTGTGAGGGCAATCATGCCTTCTCCATATAACAAGCATGAAGAGGCACTGCTGATACTTTACATAATGTATCATGAAAAACATTTTTCAAACATACAAAAATAATTAAACACAAGCTGTTCTCACACACTTACACATACATTTGCCTTCCATAGGACTGTTGGAAGAGTAAGCGTGGTACCAGACAAGAATGAAACTGCAGACCACTAAGGCTTCTCCTTCCTACTCCCTCTGCCGCACACACACATACTTCCCAACTTACAAATACCATTTTTTTCCTGTGAACATCACTGTGAAGATCCTGTCTGGAGGTTCAGAAGTTAATGGAGAAGACTGACAAGGCAGAAGGTTTGTTTTCTTAAGAACTCTTTTTTTTTTTTTTTT